GAGAGACCACGCCAAACGGTTTGACAATCGCGAAATATCGGTCCAGTGCAATGAAAGCCAAAGTGGTTAGCGAAATAAAGCCGAAAAGGCCACCGGCGAATCCGTAGAGAACGCATGCTGAATAAAAAGTATGCATAAATCTAAGGGATTTGACACGAGGAACATTAGTCAGGACATATCACGTTAGGACAATCGCAACTGCTCTCATGACTACCGTCAGAAAGCGTTGAATTACAGAAATTCCAAGTGAGTAATGGAGATTTGATTCAATTTCAAAGGTGAATTCGTCGCGTATATAGCAAATGAAGTGTGAAATGAAAAGATAGGAAGCACTGGACAACTGTTTTGGCCCGGTTGGATCTCATCAGCAGTGCGAATTCATCGACCCAACTACGGATCGAACCCGATACCTCACAGGTAGGAAGCAAGTTTGCTACCCACTCGGCTGCAGGGGAAATAATCAGACCTTTTATTCATTTTCCATTTACACGGTATAGCAACAAGCTCGCAAAGATGGGTTATGCTTTAGCTTGTAAAGAGAAAAGGAAAAGCGGTCTGATCAGCTGCCCGGTGGCCGAGTGAGTGGCACGCTTGCGTTCGGCCTGTGAGGTATCGGGTTCGATCCCCATTTGGGTCAATAGATTCGCCCTGCTGATGAAACCCAACCAGGTCGAAACAGTTGTCCAGTGTTTGTTAACTTTTCAGTAAACGCTTCATTTGTTATATGCACGACGAATTCTCCTTTGGACTTACAGAAATGGCAATAATACGAACAACAACATCATTTTAGCTTACTTTTGAGTGTTAGTGGAGAAATTTGATTGTTTGATGCAGGAATTATCTGTGGGCATTACGTACAACTTATGTGAAACTTAAGAGGTATGATTCTGAACGATCAAGGATATGAATAACTTGAAGATATATTTCACTTATTTGATGGGAAAAAAGTTATCGGTATGTTCGTCCTCTTGATACACCATCCTCTTGCATTTTCCATTTTTAAATTTAAATCATGGTCGACATACTTTTTGGTAAGATGTGAAATAGCAATCATCAGTAATACACACAATAAAGCTACACTAACTAACTGCTATATGCCGGACAAAATGCTTTAGTTAAAAATTACGATGATCATGATTTGTGCCTTTTGCCGGTTAAAGTTCATCAGCGTCTCTGATGCAAGTAAGAATGATTTATTTTATCAAATGCACTTACCCGTCTTACCCCAATTCCAATGTTGATTGAATGCCGATATTGTTTTCAGCGGAAATCCATTGATTGCGGCAAAACTTAGGTCAGAAATGGCCAAGTTTATGATCAACACGTTTGGCGCAGAACGCAGTCGTTGAGATCTGCCATATGAAAACAACGTATGGTTTTGTGACTACTAGATACCCATCACTGACACCAAGAACTCTCCACATCTATTGTAAAGGTATTTATCTGCTATTTTTTCATCACACGTTGCACTTACAGTAAGGAAGACATCGGATCATACTCAAGATCTCACTATTAGGAACAAAACTTTACCGTCGTTTTAGTGGATAGGTAATACAAACAGAATATATCTTTGGTGGTCCTCCATAGGCTTTCTTATTTCGTCCGTTCTCTCACCGGATTAACGTTCGTTCATCGAGTTCTTGCACAGCTTATCGACAATTAGAAGTAATAAAGCCAATCAAATTACAGACTGTTTCATGAGAAAAGCGCTGAAGGCACATCAAGAATTTCCTAGCCGTTTGCTGGAATAGGAAAAGCTTCACGTAAAAGTACAATTACTCTCTTCACACGCCTCAACAACCAGCAAATTTTCGGCATTCTGCAACAGTTCTTTTTACAAGGAGACTATCACGTTATTTAGATCTTGAATGTCACTAAAAAGATGGTTAAAATGCTGTGAAGTCTAATGAATTTCGTGGGTTTTTCTCAGGATATGATAAATTATAGCTTGTTTGGGAAAAACACCTGTCTCCCAAAAAGGTTAGATAGAATCAGGAGAATGTCAGTGGAGGCTAGAGTGAAAATATCCTGTATGCAATAAAGAGCAAATGAAATACTGATAAGTTGGACACTACAAACGTCCTGGGTTTGAAAGAAACTTCCATTCAAAAGTTGAAAAATGTGCATGCAATGCAGATAGTGGGTAATAGAAAAATCACCGGAATTACAAGTGAATAAGAAGCTCATATATGACTTGGAGCCAGGCATGCAACGTAATAGTCCTGTATTTCAGGAGCTGCATTTTTTATCTGTGATCGCGTATTCAGTAATTGGGCGGGGGGAGGGACGTTAAGCTATTTTTTCGTTCACCTTGGTATGAGTTTGTTTATTCACTTTTCTTTGTTCTCAACATAAGTATCGATCTTGAAAGTTCAATTTTTTTTTAAATAATTATTATCAATAACATTTTTTAGAGAAAATGTGACTTAAAATTGAGCACAGAGTGACAAATGGCTTGTTTCCTCTCGTTCACTCAATATCTTAACCAGATTCTTGATATGACAATAATCAGTAACAACAAAACAAAGAACACAGTATTGGCAAATACAGTTTCACTAGTCCCAAAATAAACACTTCTCCTTGTTGCAAACATAGCACTCTCTTTTACTGCTTTGGCCTAGTTGTTTATTGTATAAATCGAAATCGCAAGTATGATTGCGTACATGTGAGTGAGTTGAGATAGCTAAGTGAAATTCCCGAATAAACAACTTAAAAAAAGACAGATACCAAACAATTTTAATACACATTTCGGAAGTTATAAAGCCTTCCTACCCTGGCAAGACAAATTTGAAACAAGGAAAACCTCGAGTATCACAGAGGTTAACAGAGGTGCTAATCAGTATANGTACACAATGAACAGAATAATGGTGACCAAATTCCCACCAATTCCGATCACACCCATAAGGCCGACATAAATACCGACCAGGTAGTTGTAGATTGGATCTGGCGGGGTGAATCGGCGCCAATGCGGATGGATCCAGTTGGCAAATTCCGGGTCCGTTAACCAAAGGTTTCCAAATGTCATATTGGTCAATAAGTGTTGTTCTTCTAACGAGTATTCCATTTGTGAGTCAGTATTCAGTCTTCAAAGGTAATTCGCAATCGAATTCCGAGTAAATGAATATCTATACTATGAATATCTAGTAAAACAAACGAGATAGACTTTGTGAGGCAATGGTTTACAAAAGTTATAATGCAGCTGACAATAAGCAAACATTTACGCAAACATCCATAAATGAACAGGTGGTCACGTGATAATAAGATAATCCTCCATAAGAACCAAGTAGCCATTATATTTGCATACTTCTTTTATTTAGGATCAATACGATTTCAAAGCACAGTTTGACTTTTCGTATGAATACCTGTAATTGCAAATGGAGAACACTTCTGAAGTCGATGAGAATGGTATTGCTGTCCTTTTACCAACAAGCAGTCAACGTATCCAAAAAGGGTCTTTGCACTACCGTGAATGGTTCATTTGTTTGAAAGAGAATTGTTGCTCTCTCGGTGGTAGTTAGGGTGATTGGAACTTCGTGCATTTTGATAATGTCATGTAACTGTATCACCATATGAAAATATATGCTAGATTGAAAACAGATAAAAACAATGTCCACTGATAGATGGATCAAAATGTCAGCGAAAGTTCCGTTCAAGTCAAAAGGGTTGCTGATGATTTTGTTGCATGTGAACGATGTTAGATGTGAATATCAACTTACTGCCTATAGAGGTGAATCTGTTAAATCATAGCTGAGCATAATTGAATCATGATAGCAATCATGAGTTCTACTCACAAAGGAGAAAAACCAGGATGATTATGGAAATTTATCATGTTTACCAAAAGTCATTTCGATTATATTGTTTGCCTGTTGCTTGCTAACTCCTTGAGTATGCTTAATAGACAATTAGCCTTTAACTCGAAAAAAGTTACAATATTCAGTTTGAAATTGACTGACGTCAATTCACTTATTCCACAAATGCGGCCGAATAAAGAGCACGTAGCATTCGAATTAACCGTTGTGTGGGAGCAACCGCGGTGTGCACGAATGGTTGCGTGCATTGTGTGAGGAAGCGCAAATACAATTGCTTGAATTAAGCAAACAAGAATCGATGTGGATTTATGTCGTCAGTGATTTTGGATGAATGCTTAAGTAGATAAACATATGGCATTAATGTCGGATAATAAACTATTGGTTGTTCGGAATCATTTGTGAGAAGCTGATTTTCGAAGACTTTTCGTTTCTGTGCAATTTCTACGTGTAAATAAGTTGACCTAATTGAACTAATTATGTTTGAGATGAATTCAGATATGGATTTTATTGCCTAGTGAACCCACGAAACTCTTGGATTTGCAGAAAATCTCCAAACCGTTAATTAATATTTCTTTACTCATTTTGACTTTTGTTTGACGTAATCAATAATTTCTCTCCGTCTGTTTTCCAGATGGTAAATGAAATCATCTGCAACTTAAGTAGCCCACTCATGCTGTCACGTTTTACTTGAACCAATGTCTACGGATCTTCATGCTTGATGACTTGCATTAAGAAAGATTGGAGCCTTGAAATACCGTCCGAAAACATGCTGAAAATAACAGTTGTTTCGAAATAGAAAAGCTGAAAATGGATCCAGTGGCATTTGCCAAGTCATTTGTTCAGCATATGCCCTTTACTGGTGGACACGATCCGATTATAAAAGTTTATTGATAAACACGCATGCAATTTTGCCCTCAACCATTTTTATGCCTTCATAGAACACCCGGAACCACAACAACGGATTCTTTGAGCATCTCTGGACGAATCAGTGAACACAAAAATAATCGAATCATTTCGTGTGTGTATGCGTGAGCGTGCACACGCTGCTCTTGGACTGGATAATGCAACACGGGAGGGAGGGTCATGCTGCAACCAAAAACTGGACAACTATAATTCGGGATGACTGAAAACCGTTTACTGAGCAAGTTCGACCTCGAACTGGGGTAAAAAGCAATATAAAGATAATTGTTCCAATTATGTTACTTGGCAAACAAAGCAAGAAAGTAGTCATGTACCCGGATTGCGTCCTGCTTTATATTCCAAACAACATAATTAGCTTGAACAACCTAATCGTACAATTCTTTAGGTTGATTTAGCCTATTTCTAAGGAACACGTGCACGGGAAGACAAATGACCTACTAGTTGCTGGATTCCATAAACCTTTTGTTAGGGTTGTGGTAGCGCGTAGGTAGTATGTAAATGTGGATTCAAATCCCACCCAGACTACTTCGACGAGCTTGCACTGTTTCTGTTTAGTTTTGTGAGCTGCATTCAATGATACTAAAGTATTGGATATATATTCTACCTTTCGATCATTCACGCCGTTTTGTGTTCCTCACCGACTTCTCTGTATCGTAAATGAGAGCATTATTGAGCATTGGATTTATTGTGACAACATTTCGAACAGCTTCGATCACTCTATTCAATGAGCTTGTGTTCATCCCTCTGAATCAATTTTGAAGCGAGATATGGATATATTTGTGCCGTTTGCCATCACACTTGCACATGCGTCTACACCCCGATCACCGTACACATCGGTCGATACGCATTGCCTGCCCCCTGTCCATTGTTCTCCACACGGACTGTCTTCACCGAATCACACGCGTAGTTATCTGTCCCCGATCTCACTTAGCCCGAAATTTATCAAACGTTTGTCCCGTCCCCGTTCACAGCGCACCAAAATGGGTCAACGGAGTATTTCGACAAGTGTCACGCGATCGACCACTTCCATTTTAGGAAAATGTGGTCTATTGGATTGCGGTAAAGATGTCAGCACAGGGATTGCATGCAGCTACTGACAAAAGTGCTATCATCCCAGCTGCGTGAACCTATCGATCAAGCTTTTAAAACAGATGACTGCGCAACCAGGATGTTCGTGGTTTTGAGCGGATTGCACACAGGTCCCTATAGTGAAATGCATAATAGGCCTAACAAATAAGTATAATAAACTATTACTAGAGGTTGAGGAAAGGATCCGTGCAAAACTTTCGTCGCTCGAGGATAAAATAGCCGCTCTGAGTACCAAAGTCCCTGCGACCAGCATGATTCAATGGCCACGTAAGCGTTCAAGGTGCTCCACAAACAGTAACATTCGTGTACAACACACGCAGATACTGTTTTGAAAAATGCACTAAAGGCAACAGGAGACAATCATTGGTACAGGGCCGAGGGATATCATAAGATCACTGAAGCTTATCAAACCAGCAGGAAAACCGTCAGCGGGTTGTAAGAAAGGCATTAAAAACATCACATTACCAGTAATCTGGACGAGTTTGCCTGAGCCGACAGCCCAAACACTGAGGGATAGGCAAGAAGAGGAGTATGGTTGTTGGAACGGTCTGTGCACTCTAATGGGAATTGATATGAGCCTCACACGCCTTGTGCCCATCCAAATTCGTCAGACGCAGGAAAACACAGGTTAGTCAGAGATACGCTGAAGAGCGAGATGGACTTTGAGAACGTCCTTCCTTTGAGTTCTAGTATCACAAGAATTTTTTGCCGCTAGACTATGAACAGAGCACTTGTAACCCCGGAACACTCCAGAGGATGCACGGGAGGTAAGGAGCGAAAGGGTTTTTTCATTCCTGGGGTCCACAACTAAATGATCCTGATGAGTCAAGATGCTACTACAGCTACTATAAAGAGTGGCGTTTCATTAATGATTTACTCACTTTACTTTACTACGGCTGGCTCCTTGGAAAGAATAAGCTGGCTCCATGAATGTCTCTGATGGCCGCTATCCATGCTTGGCGGTTTGCTGCAAGATCCTTGCAAATGTTGATCCAGTTTGTTTTCTATCGGCGAGTGCCATACACCATCCGAAGACCAAGTTGTTCGACGTCTTCTAATACAGTGTTCAGCCAGGTTTTTACTCCTTCCCCCTTGTCGGCGGCGCCAGCCAGGACATCGTGTCGGAGCCAGGCCAATACTCGTGAAAGTGTCGTCGGGTCTGCGGTGAACACGGCCTAGCCATTGCAGTCGGCGGAGTTGTATGTGCGTTGAGAGGGGGGCAACGTGGCATCGATTTTTGAGGTCCATGTTTAAGACCCTGTTCCGCCAGTTTACTTCTAGAATGAACCAAAGACACTAGTGATCGAAGACCTCCAATCGTCTGATGTCCTCAGCTCTTAGCGGCCAGGTTTCGCAGCCGTATAGTAGGACTGGTCGAACCGCTGTGGCAAACACCCTGAGCTCGGTTTTGAGGCTGATCTCGTTCCGGCGCCATAGGGTGGTTTGGAGCTGCGGAAACCCTGTTCCAGCCGTGTCGATTCGCCGCTTTGGATTGTCCATTGGGTAGGATGGTGGACCCAAGGCAATTGAAGCTCGATACGATTTCTATTGTCTGACCATCCAGTTGCAGAGGATGTTCCGCTTGATCAAATGGAGTAGCGAACATCTTGGATTTGTTGGGATTAATCTCAAGGCCGATGTCAGAGGCAAATCCTTTGATATGGTTGAGAGCTGTGTTCAAAGTGGTTAGGTTATCTCCAATCACTGTCACGTTATCGGCGAATTCGAGGTCAGTAACCCAGCAATCCGCGAAAACTTGGACGCCTTGGTAACCTTCCATTGCCCGACGCAGAATCCAATCAACGGCGAAGTTGAACAACACTTTACATAGTGGGCATCTTGAATATCCACCGAGAAGTCGACTAAAATGTCCTACGTATCTGATCATTCTACCGTCGATATCGGAGATTATTCCCCCGGAGGAGTTGCGTAGAACGGGTTGTAAAGATTGCCTTCTACCGGAGGCTGATCTTATGAGGCGAAAGAGATCTCCAAAGTGGCATGCAATGGCTGCGGTTTCCATCTTGATCGCTAGTTCGTTCCAGTAGTTGCACCGATCTGCTTTTGCGGAGCGGGTTGCTTCCCATCTGAGTCGCTGGTAATCGTGGTGGCCAGCTAGACGGGCGTTCCTGGCCAAGGTTGAGCAACAGATGGTTTCCTCTGGTATCCAATCTCTGTTGCAGCCTTTCGTGGTACCAAGTTTGTTTAGTGCAGCTTGTTGTACTGCAGCTTTTATCCTGGACCA